TTCAGTAGATCGCAGACTGTTTTTAGGGAGCTCAGGGACTATTTTCAGAACATAATCATAATTTCCTCCCCTTAGTTTTCTCTTTCTTCATGAAGTGGTCCTGAAAACATCTGGAATCTATGAAGTGTTATTTTTATGCTGACCTAAGAACCATTGTAATCCTCTCTTTAATCTCTCCCTTGATTTCCTCGGTCTTTATGCCTCTGAGGAGGTGATGCTTGTACAATCTCCCAACTGGACTGCTATTGGAATCTCCTCTGAGGACTCTCCCTTCCAGTAGGTATTGCAACAGTGGGCCATGTCTTCAAGTAAATACATTCTTAGATTATAGAAGACCTGAGGTGGAGATCCTTTTTGCCTTACCATTCCCCTGAACTCATTCTCCATCATTCTAAAAGCTTAAGACAAATGGTATATACTCATGGACTGATGTGGGCAGAGCTTGTTCCCAGGCACAGGCCTTAACCAATGCACTGTGCTGTTCCAAAAAAAAACCAAAAAAACCCCAAACTAACAACAACAAAAAGTCTCTGATTAATAATGACAATGGTTCATGATTAATAATGGTGAAGTTTTTGTCTTTTTTTTTTTTTTTTGTTAACTGAAAAGTTTTGGTTACCTCATATGAAGCTTTAGGCAAGGATATTGGATGTGGGCAGGGACTCAACTCCATCGTAGCTCAGTTTTTTACAATCTTCAAGTGCAGAAAAATTTATTTGGTTCTTCCTAACTCACAAAAAAGGTTGCAAAAATAAATATGTACTAATGAGCTGGATTCCTAACAAACCTTAAAGTCTTTCCACGGAGCAAGCTTTTTCTTTTTAGTAAAACACCATTAATTTTCTTTTTTCTGCTATCTACTGAAAAGAAAAAAAGCTTTAATAATTTGACTCACTTATATTGATATTGATAGATAAATTCCAAGTTTAGAAAAATGTCTGTTAAAATTAATAATTATTTGAACAGTGGGAGTTCTTCTACATGATGGACGTAGATGTTGGGGTTTAGGGCTACTCCAGTGACTGTTTAAAAAAAGAGTAGAGCTAGAATCAAAATTAGAATCTGTAATCTTTTCTATTTAGGAGGATGCTCTAGTGGCCTCAGTAGGGAGTTGTGCTTCCAGTTCAGAGTGGGATGGTTCAAATTTACCAGCTGCTCTAAGAGAGAAAGACAATATTCTAATTCAAAACCCATGATCAAGAATTATGACAATGGCTTTGAAATGGAAAGGAAATGCAAGGAAAGTGGAATGAGGTAGCCTCCCTTCTAAGGAATAATTACATCATTTGATTGCACATTTCTAATCCTTTCTTTTATAAACCTGTACAAGATGTGCTACCTACTCAGTATAATTAGACATTTCTTTAGAGAATCAATATAGTGAATGCTATGAATTTTTATTTGTAACTGTAGTTTCCCTTTTAATCAAACGAGAGTTGGACATAATATAATGGGGAAAGCATTGATGCAGGTGAGTCTTTGATGCTGACAGCAGCGCCCACAAAACACCAGCTCTTACGCATAATCCATTAGAATACAGTTCAGTAGACTTTAGGTTCTGCCATGTGATCTGCCGACTAGACGTTTCAGTATCAGCAGCTTGTTAAAAAATGCCCCACCCTAAACATACTGATGCTGCATTTTACCACAATCGCCAGGTGATTCTGTTCTGATTAAAGGCTGATGAGCACCCTCCCTGCGGTTTTCTCTTCAGTTTGCCTCCACTGGCCCATGATGGACCACTCTGCCCGCATATCCTGCATCCACACAAAGCCGTCTATGAAAGCCAAAGCTGCTGAAGTTCTGTCTTTTGCTAAATGTAGTTTCTCTTTACTGTCTTCTCTAAAATAGAAACTTCATTTTCTCATGTATTGTCTATTTTACAGTTTTTAATCTGTTCACCTTAGCTTTCACAAAGTTAATTTTTCCTATACCAATTTCCTGACTGAAAAGATTATCTACACTTACGGCAGGGTATGACCACATATATGTCTGTCATGGCCCCATAAGCTTTTTGGTTTGGGTTTTTTTTGTTTGTTTTTTTTAAGGAAAGCAATTCTCCTTTTGTTGTTTTACCTTAATGATTTTAAAGACCTCAGCCCACTAGTGGAGAACAGCGAAACCTAGGACATATCCCAATCCTTGCAGTGCCTCTTCTTTCTCCTCTGCCTCCCTCTTGTGCCAGAATCTTCTTGAGGGGAAAAGATGTGTGACCTCCTACTGTGTGCTTTACAGCCCAGAAATCCATGGCAGGGTCAGCTCGGTGTTGGTTCTGACTCAACAGGAATGAGTTGATGGATGAGTTGATCGTGGACGTTAAGCGACGGAGAATGACACATGTTCAGAATTGAGTTGCTTGTGGAAATTAAATGACACACACCTGTACTAGAGTTCTTTATTTGAAAAACCTTTTTGCAGATTTATGTTTGGGAAGGAAAAGACTGCTAACAAATTATTAATTGCCTCTTGGGGACTAGTGTTTAAAAGGGAGATATTCGCTTTGATTTTTCTTCCCTTTAAATCTAAGTGGAAGAAAGCAATATAAAAGAGGACTTTTTTTTTTTTTTTAAGAAAACCAATGTTTTTGAGAAGTAAACCCTTGTTAAAGTAGATTGAGAAGACTAGAGTCCAGGATGAAAAAGGATTTCCATTGTCCTAGTAATAGTTTTACATTGCCATAGCCTATCAATTAAAATCATTGGGAGTTGCATTGATCTCTCCCCCCGCCTTCTCTAAAATTTTCTGTCACTACTCAACTATTAGTTTCCAGTACTGTGGTAGCTTATGTATTGTTGTGATGCCAGATGCTATGACACTGGTATTTCAAATACTAGCAGAATCACTCGTGGTAGGCAAATTTCTGCAGAACTTCCAGATTAAGACAGACTAGAAAGTAAGACCAGCCATCTACTTCTGAAATAATGGCTTCATTATTCAATTTAGCAAGCTGGGTTGATGCAGTAACTGCAACAAGGGTTGAAGCATGGTAGAGTTTGTGAGGACGATATAGGACTGGACAGGGTTTCAATCTGTTGTGCATGAGGTGGCTGTGAGTCATTGTTGAAACAGCAGAGTTTTCTGACATGATGAGGAAAAGAATTATAGTTAATAGGTAGGATTTGATCCTTGGGCAACTGGCCTACCATTTGTGTTCAGATTAAGGTCCATCATCTCAGAGTATATTGACTTGTCTGAGAGGTGCCATTGTCCACCGTAGAAAATGGGGATGAACTCATGAGCAGCTCCTCTCATTAAGAGTAACTGTGCTACCACAATGTCATTACACCTTATATGGTTGTATTGGATTTCATCTAGGAAGGAAAGAAAGGATGAGGAATTCTTACTAGACAGAAAGGGAATGCTCATTGAAAATCCATGTTGCACTGGTATCATCACCTGCTTCTAAGGTATATGTCATTTTTTAACTGGACAGCGTTTGGTTCATTGATACTTTTGAATGTTTAGAGAGGAAGTTGAAGAAAGAACATTATGTTTGCCCCTGTATCACTGTCACTTAGTTCAGTGGAGTCAGGCAGGGACTGAAGATCAGTACTCAAGAGCACAGTGTTAGCTGCAGGGTTTTGAACTAGATCAAGCCTGTTCAGTCATGCTGATGCAGTGAAATTGGAATAGAGTTTGTAAAATGTAGACGTGCAAAAAAAAAACCAGAATAAGAAAGTCTTTTGGTCAAAACCCCTAATTGGAGACTCAGAATCATATTGGGTCATTTTAGGAGCCTAATGTGGGAGACTGGCATATTGCAAAGACTGTGGAGAGAAAAGCATATTAAGAGTGGCTTGGTTGGCTGCCTTCTTGGAGCCATGCATCATTATTTCTTCCTCTGTTGGTCAGCAGATTTGGTTCACTAGTCTGGATGACTAGTGTAAAAAAGCAGGAAAGAGCATCCTGGAGACACTAAGAAACCTAGGGATACAAACAGAGGAGTCACATATGAGAAAATAAAGCTTGACTTAATCTAATTGCAGTGTTGATTCCTTAGAGGCAAGGTTGATGAAATTCTGTTTCACATACTTTGGACATGTTGTCAAAAGACACTAGTGTGTGGGAAAGGCACCAATCCTTGCTGGGAAAAGTATAGGTAAATGAAAGAGAGAGAGACCTTCAGTGAGATGCAGCAGTGGGCTTGATGGTGCAGGATATGGCTAGATTTCAATCTTTTGTTCTTTAAGTATCTATTAATTGTAGTCAACCTGAGGATACCTAACAATAGCCTGAGCCAAATGCTGGAATACAGTGATGTTAAAAGAGCTCCTAGGGACAGTGCCTCTTTGTCTACCATCTGGGAAATGGGTGATTTTAAAAATGGCTGCAAAGGGATTGTGGATACACCAAATCAGAACCCTCAGGAACTTTATTAGGAGACACATATTCTGGTCTCTGCCCCAGAGAATATCAGACACCATAGTTGATCAGTTAAAAACTTGAGATGAGAACCAGCCACACTGAGATGGAATTTTAACTCTGCCTTTACTGGGTCTGCAGCCTTTGCTCAACTAGTAAACCTCCCATATCGCCCATTTTATTATTTCTAAAATGATCATGACATCAATCATACCTATCTCATGAAGATTTTGCAAGAATTTGAAGAAATGTTCTGTGCAAAATGGTACACTACCTGTCATAGAAGTAGAGACTCAATGCATGTAAGTTTTGTTCTTTCATAACCGGAACATAATTTTATTTAAAAGAAAATTTGAGCTCTTGTCTAATTTTGAGATGATGAACAAGACAAACAAAATAACTTTGATTATAATTTAAGGTTTTAAGGGCATTAATGTAGTGGTGTATACCCAAAGATAACTTTATTTGAAAGCTTTGCAATTTGAGTTATGATGAATAGAAAATATTGTCATAGTACTTAATGATTTCCTTCAAACCTAAGTATTTTTAATAACCATCCAAAATAATAGATTTTTTTTATGTCAGAAAGTCCTATCTAATGGTTCTCTTCCCCTCACCCCCTTTATTCCAACGGGAAGAATTCCTTGACCAGGAGTGCACCCCTTCCCAGTGACTCCCAGGCTCGCAGTGGCGCCCGTTTCCACACTTCCTACGACAAAAGATATGTCATCAAGACCATTACAAGTGAAGATGTGGCTGAAATGCACAACATTCTGAAGAAATATCACCAGGTAATTGGGGTTTGGGGCCGAGAGTGTTTGTTTTTCTCTGTCTTTATTTGAAACTTGGAGAAAGTTGAACTTCATAACTAATGATCACTGAGGATCAAGACATGTTGTCAGGGCCTCACAGTCTTTTCCCACTATAACAGCATAATTCTCTTCTTGCTATATTTTATCTAGAAAAGTTTCATTTTTCCAAGAGTTATATCTTTCTTTTTTAGAAATAGTCCTTTTAATATAGTATCAAGGATCTTAATGATTAAGAATCAGCATTATCTATACAATTATTGCAAGGATAAAAAATTAAAAGTCAGGAGACCAAGCTTGTTTTGATTGGATTACTTGATCTGAACCAAGTTTCCCCGACAATACATCTTTCGTTCATTTATTTGTTCATGTGTTTACTCTTATAAAAAGAGCAAGGGCCATGGTGGGAATGTCCACATCTGACCTTTATAAACTTCACAAAAGGCAGCTGTCCCCATCAACATCATCAACAACATAAAACAAATTCCCTGGTGGGCATAGTTCAATGGTGATTAATTTTATAAATCATAATGAATGGGAATGATTGTATGAAACAAAATGTGAATTAAGGGTAGTGTGAAACTCAATAAATACAAACTTTGTAAGCAACTCAATATAAAATAAGTTTTTTTAAAAAACACCAATCAATTCCCATGAGGTCAGAAATGTCTCCCATGCTCCTATACCTCTTTCTACTCATTTCAACACCAACCTTATTTCTTTGCTGGGTACAAAATCTGATGCAATAGTTCACAGACCACACAGAACTATGCTGGAGAAGTTAAAAGGTTAATAGAAGAATTCAGTCAGAACAGCTTCTGAAGTGTGCTTGCAGGGATCTCAGCCTTGTCCTTTGCAGTTTAAGTCAAGTGTTACAAAGTTCTCAGTCCTGCCAATATTTACTTCCTCCCCACTCTACACTCCCCAGTTGTCCAACAAACTTGGGCAAAAGCTCTTAGCTTACTTCTGGTTCTGTCCTAGGAGTAGCAGTCTGAAGTTAACTCCATCTCAAGTTGGTTCTCATTCAGCTATGGTTACTGCTGCTATAGGGTGTAATTGTAGCAAGAATTTTTGGGACTGAAGAATATGTTACATTCTCTTGCTGCGGCTGCTTTTTTTTTTTTGTCACTGGCAGGGAAAGTGTCCTGCTGCTGAATCACTCAATTTAATTGTGAGACTATACAGTCCCCTTGTGGATTGGTGAGATAGCCAGGCTCCTGTGGATAGACTATCACATTCTATTTGTATATTCCATCCAATCCATATGGCAAAATCAAGCTAAGAGGCTATGAAAGCCATTTTAAAAAATAATCTCCACAACTCTTAACCTTATTCTGGAAAAGATTTAAGGTAGTCTATTCTAGGAACTCTGGCTATACAAAAAAACAGTAAGGTAGAAAAGCGTGTTGTGGAATGCCCTTGAGTCAAAACTCAAGGAGACATAGGTGAGCTTCCAATGGGTTTTCAGAGGCAGTTGCTCTCACAGAAAGATATTGCCCATCGTTCTCTCACAGAAAAAGTGACAGACCCAAAATGGAATTTGGAATGAGCCTAAAAATTCTTGCCTTGGTGATTAGCATGCTTGCTGTTGAGGGCCACAGATTTGATTCCTGCTTCCTGTCAGGCCAGGTGAAAAGGGACAGCTAAATTGTCTGAATTTGGAAATGAACTAGTAGTAAGAGGAAATATAACTGTACTTAGTAGTAAAATCAGACATGGTTGTCTTTAAGGAGTTCCCCACAGAGAGAACACTTAACAATATAAACAGTGTCCTCTACAACAAATCAAATAACACTATAATTTCATCAAACTTTAAAAATTATCATTATAGGCTGATGAAATCACAGCACAGGATTTAGTAAGTGCATTTCTGCAGAAGGAGAATGAGATACACAGTGGCTATCTACCTCTCTGTCAGATTGGCTTCACCTAGGCATGATACAGTGACTGTGTATTCATTCCTTCTATCTTTTGATGCTTTCTGTGTCATACAATATAGTGGCCATAGCGTCTTTCACTATTACAACACAAAGCTTACATTAGTTTTCAATTCTTTTAGCTTGAGAAATACAGAGTGAGTCCTTCCCTTTTTATCCTCCAATTCCCGCTTTCTGCACATTCCATAATAATACTTTGCTTTGTCCTCCCAAGCTGCCCTTTGAAATCATCTGTTCAACTCTTTCACTTTGACATATTTACCTTTGTTTTTGCTTCTCAATGCTCCAGTGCAATCTTTAGAGTCTCTTCTTACATCCATTTCAGTTTTTTCTTTCTCTTCCATTTTTTGTAATGACCTTTTGCTTTCTTCATGGATGATATCCTTGATATCATCCCAAAGTTCATCTGGTCTTCAATCATTGATGATGTTCAATGTCTCAAACCTATCTTTAAGATGATCATGAAATTCAGATGGTACTAATTCAAGATCATATCTTGGTTCCTGTGGATTTATTTTCATTTTCTTCGGCCTCAATTTGATCTTGCATATGAGTAATTGATGATCTGACCTATAGTTTTTCCCTGGCCTAGTTATGACTGCTGATAGTTCTTTCTGCAGATGCAGAAATAATAGATTAACACTAAAAAATTTCAGGAAGTACCATATAAACAGGAGCAAATCATAATGAAGGAAGAAGTAGAGGCTGCAGTGAAGGCATTGACAAAAAATAAGGCCCCAAGAATCTATAGGATATCAATTGACTTATTTCATTTAACAGATTCAAACTTGGATACACTCACCAGTCCATGCCAGGAAATTTGGAGGATGGTTTTCTGGCCCACAGATTGGAAGAGGTCCATATATGTTCCCATTGCCAAGAAAGGTGATCCAACTGAGTGTGAAAATTATCGAACAGTATCATTGATATCATATGCAAGCAAAATACTGCTGAAGATCATTTAAAAATGGCTAGAACAGTCCATAGATAGGGAATTGCCAGAAGTTCAAGCAGAATTTAGAAGAGGCCGTACCATCAGGGATAACATTGCTGATGTCAAATTGGTCCTGACTGAAAGTAAAGAATACCAGAAGAATGTCTATTTGAGCTTTATTGACCATGGAAAGGCATTTGACTTTGTGGATTTTTAAAAGTTGTGGCTGACATTGTGAAGAATAGGAATTCTAGAGCACTTGATTGTGTTCATGCGGAACCTATACCTGGACCAAGAGGCTGTTGTGCAAATGGAGCAGGAGAGCGCTGTATGGTTTGGAACTGGGAAGGGAGTGTGCCAGGGTTGTATTCTCTGTCCATACCTATTCAGTCTGTATGCTGAGGAAATGATCTGAGAAACTGGTCTCTATGAGGAGGAGTGTAGAATCAGGATTGGAGAGAGACTCATCAATAACCTGTGTTATGCAGAAGACACAACCTTGCTTGCTGAAAGTCAGGAGGACTTGAAGAACTTGTTACAGAAGATCAAAGAATGCAGCCTTTAGTATGGATTACATCTCAATGTCAGGAAAACAAAGATTTTTACCATTGGACCAATAGGCAGCATCATGATGGTTGGAGAGGAGACTGAAACTGTCAACAGCTTCATCTTACTTGGACCCACAATTAACACCTTCAGTACCAGTAGGCAGGAAATAAGAAGATTCATTGCACTGAGAAAGTCTGCAGTTAGGGACCCTTCCAAATTATTGAGTAATGATGTCAGTTTGAGCACTAAGGTGCATCTCATTCAAGTTATTTCTTTCTAATTACTTTCCATGCATCTGAGTGCTGGACAATGAATAAGGATGACAGAAAAAAAATGATGCCTTTGAGCTGTGGTGTTGGAGAGGAGTACTGAGCATCCCATGGACAGCCAAGAGGACAAACAAATATGTCTTGGAGACAATAATGATGAGGCTTTGCCTCATGTACTTAGGACATGTTGCTAGCAGGTGCCATTCCTTGAAGAAGGATATGATGCTGGGAAGGGTGAAGGGTCAGCGAAGGAGAGGAAGACCCTCAGCCAGGTAGATTGATACAGTGACTTCAGCTGCAGTGGGCTCTTGTATGTCAGGAAGTATGAGGATGACACAGGATAGAATAAGGCTCAGATCTTTTGTTCCAAGGTCTGTATGAGCCCTGCTCAACTCAACGGCACCTACCAACAGGCATGATACAGAACGTTCTAGTTGCTTTTCATGTGCCATCTCTGACAAGTTTCACGTGGCAGTGAGCTCAACTCTGGTTCCTTATGTGATCATCTCAAGTCAGGCGAGGGCCCTTTGACGTTTACCATCCTGTCATCCTGTGTAGTGGCATGGAAGGTGTGTAATGGACTTCTTGTTCACACTTGAAGTTTCAGTTTTGTGTACCTTTGAGTTAAAACTGATCCATAGCTGACCTTCCGGCAAATTTTCATAGGAAAATATTAATCACACAGGAGGAGAGTGTCCATCTTTCTCCTTTGCTGGTGGTTTCAAACTCTTTTCCTTTGGGTTAGCAGTGCAACTCCTTTTCACTAACCAGCCAGTGCTCTCCCCACCTCTCTCTTTTTCTTCTTTCTCTTTAAGTAGTCCTTTATAATCTATACCATTTTCCAGGAGTCCTAGTGAGGTAGTTCATAGTATGATGCTCTGCTAACCAAAAGACCCAGGGCCTCCAGCAGTTCTAATCCACCAGCTGCCCCACAGCAGAAAATGGGCCATCTCCTCCTTTTATTATATATATGGTCTAAGGATCCCAGTGGCGGGTTGCTATGTGGCAGAAGTGACTCAGTGGCAGTGGGTTAGGTTTGGGTTTTGGTGATGCACTTTTCAGTTCCCCAAAACCAGTTTGCTTTCCACTACTCACTTAAAGATTAATGGTTCACATCTGCCCATGGGTGCTATGTCAGAAAGGCCTAGTCTGTCACAGCCGAGGGGTCCCTATAGAGCAGTTCTGCTTTGTAATAAACAGGGCTACACAAATAAGTTAGCATTTTAGTATAAATATCCTTTTCTTCATATTTCTGTTAGACTAGAATACACTTGGGTCTTACAACTTAAAATT